AGATAAAAATAGGCTCAAAGTCAAAGGATGGAAAACAATCCTACAAGCAAATGGGCCAAAAAAGAAACCAGGAACAGCTATACTTATATCAGATAAAACAGACTTCAAACTCAAAAAAATAAAAAGAGACCCCAATGGTCACTACATTATGATTAAGGGGACAATACTTCAAGAAGAAATAACACTCATTAACATATACTCACCAAACAAAAGAGCACCAAAATATATCAGACAACTGTTGTCCTCTCTGAAAACAGACATCAGAGAAAACACATATGTAGTGGGAGACTTCAACACACCACTATCAACAATGGATAGATCAACAAGACAAAAAATAAGTAAAGAAACTAAAGCTCTAAATAAGGACCTAGAGCATTTGGGCTTAACAGACATCTATAGAACACTAAACCCAAAAAAAACGGAGTACACATTTTTCTCAAGCGCACACGGATCATTCTCCAGGATCGATCACATACTGGGGCACAAGACAAACATCAACAGATACACCAAGATTGAAATCATACCAACCATCTTTTCTGACCACGAAGGCATCAAACTAGAAATAAATCATAAAAAGAAGGCAAGGAACTATCCTACCTCATGGAGATTAAAAGCCACACTACTGGAAGACCACTGGACTAACGAGGAGATCAAAGAAGAAATTAAAAAATTCTTTGAATTGAATGACAAGGAGGACACCAATATCCTAAATGTATGGGATGCAGCAAAAGCAGTAATAAGAGGAAAATATATAGCAATAGAAGCTCACATCAAAAAACAGGAAAGAACTCAAAGAAACAACCTAATCTCGAAGCTCAAAGATCTAGAAAAAGAACAACAAAAAAACCCCAGAACCAGTAGAAGAAAAGAAATAATAAAAACCAAAGCAGAAATAAATGAAATTGAAACTAAAAAAACAATCCAAAAGATCAATGAAACCAAGAGCTGGTTCTTTGAAAAAATAAATAAAATAGACAAACCCCTAGCCAGGCTCACAAAGGAAAAAAGGGAGAAAGCACAAATACACAGAATCATAAATGAAAGAGGAGAAATCACAACGGACACAGCAGAAATCAAAAGAATAATCAGTAACTACTATGAACAGTTATATGGAAACAAGTTCAACAATCTAGAGGAGATGGACAAATTCCTACAACTCTACAATCACCCAAAGCTAGATAAAGAAGAAATAGAACACCTAAACAGACCAATTACAAGCAGCGAAATTGAAATGGTAATTAAAAACCTCCCCAAAAACAAAAGCCCAGGACCTGATGGATTTACAAATGAATTCTACCAAACATTCAGAGACGAATTAGTGCCTATCCTTCACAAACTCTTCCAAAAAAATTGAGAAGGAAGGGACAATACCAAACATGTTCTATGAAGCCAATATTACACTAATACCAAAACCGAATAAGGACAACACAAAAAAGGAAAACTATAGGCCAATCTCCCTAATGAACACTGATGCAAAAATCCTCAATAAAATTTTAGCTATCAGAATCCAACAATGTATCCATAAGATAATTCACCACGACCAAGTTGGATTCATTCCAGGGGCACAAGGATGGTTTAACATCCGAAAATCAATCAACGTTATCCAACACATCAACAAAAAGAAATATAAAAACCATATGATAATATCAATAGATGCTGAGAAAGCTTTCGACAAAGTGCAACACCCATTCATGATAAAAGCCCTTGAAATTCTTGGGATACAAGGAACATACCTCAACATCATAAAGGCCATCTATGACAAGCCAACAGCCAGTATCATTCTCAATGGTGAAAAGCTGAAAGCAATTCCATTAAGATCTGGAACAAGACAAGGATGTCCACTCTCACCACTGCTTTTCAATATAATACTGGAAGTCCTAGCCAGAGCAATAAGACAAGAGAAAGACATCCAAGGAATCCAAATAGGAAAAGAAGAAGTCAAACTATCACTATTTGCAGATGATATGATAATATACATAGAGAACCCCAAAATCTCCACAGAAAAACTAATTCAACTCATCAATCAGTTCAGTAAAGTGGCAGGATACAAAATCAACACGCAAAAGTCAGTAGCCTTCCTATACACAAACAATAAATCTGAAGAAGAAGAAATCAAAAAAACCACCCCTTTTATTATCGAAACAAAAAAAATCAAATATTTGGGAATAAATCTAACAAAAGAGGTAAAGGACCTATACAAAGAAAACTATAAAACACTGTTAAAAGAAATAGAAGAAGACACAAAGAAATGGAAAGACATCCCCTGCTCATGGATTGGAAGAATAAACATTATTAAAATGGCCATCCTACCAAAAGCAATATACAGATTCAGTGCTATTCCAATCAAAATCTCAATGGCATTCTTCAAAGAAATAGAACAATTATTGATGAAATTCATATGGAATCACCAAAAACCCCGAATAGCCAAAGCTCTACTGAAAAAAAAAGAAGGAAATGGAGGCATCACACTCCCAGACTTCAAACTATACTACAAAGCCATAATCATCAAAACTGCATGGTATTGGAACAAGAACAGACATACAGACCAATGGAATCGAATAGAAAATCCAGAAATAAACCCACAGATTTATGGTCAACTAATCTTTGACAAAGGAGCAAAGACTATGCATTGGAGCAAAGAAGTTGTTCAATAAATGGTGCTGGGAAAACTGGGTCGCTACATGCAAAAGAATGAAGCTTGACCACTACCTCACACCATACACAAAAATCAACTCAAAATGGATTAAAGAACTAGACATAAGACCTGAAACCATAAAATACATAGAAGGAAATATAGGCGAAACACTACGGGATTTGCACATCAAAGACATCTTTACAGACACATCACCCAAAGCAGTGATAGTGAAGAGAAAGATAAACAGCTGGGACTACATCAAATTAAAGAGCTTCTGCACAGCAAAAGAGACAATAACAAAAACAAAGAGAAACCCCACCAACTGGGAGAACATTTTTGCACCCAACACTAATGATAAAGGACTGATCACAAAAATCTGCAAAGAGCTGATGAGACTCAGCAACAACAAAGAAAATAATCCAGTCAAAAAATGGGCAGAAGAGCTAAAAGAAACTTCTCTGAAGAGGAAATGCAAATGGCCAACAGACATATGAAAAAATGTTCAACATCACTTGTCATCAGGGAAATGCAAATCAAAACTACCATGAGATACCATCTCACACCAGTGAGAATGGCACATATTAAAAAAACTAGCAACAACAAATGTTGGTGAGGATGTGGAGAAAAAGGAACTCTTGTGCACTGTTGGTGGGAGTGCAAACTGGTCCAACCACTATGGAGAGCTGTGTGGAGATTTCTGGACCTACTAAACATAGAGCTTCCATATGATCCAGCAATTCCACTCCTAGGTATTTACCCAAAGGACACAGAAACATCAATTCCAAAGAGCACCTGCACTCCTATGTTTATAGCAGCACTGTTTACAATAGCTAAGCTTTGGAAACAACCCAAATGCCCAAAAATAGATGACTGGATCAAGAAGATGTGGTACATATACACCATGGAATATTACTCAGCATTCAAAAAAGATAAACACATGCAATTTGCAGCAACATGGATGGCACTGGAAGGGATCATGCTCAGCGAAATAAGCCAAAAAGAAAAAGAAAAATACCGGATGGTCTCACTCATAGCAGGAATCTAGAAAACTTAAATAAGGGACCAGGAAAATGAATATAAGAAAGTGAAAATCAAAATCAACAAAAAACTATGAACCAGAGACACTTGTTGGGGGGGGGGGGGCGGGAGGGGAAGGATTGGGGTCAGAATGGGGCGTTTGCAATTGTATGGGGGAATATAAAAATAAAATTTAATATTAAAAAAAAAAAATAAGGACCCATACACACCCAGAAAAGAAAGCTAAGTTTTTTTCATTATGCAAATGGCTAAAAAATGGGAATTCAACAAAAAGTCAGGAAATCAACTCCACCAGTACATTTAGATAGCCCCACATTATTTTTTAAAACTTGAATTAAGTTTTTCTTACCTTACATACTGAGTATTCTTTCAGCATATAAGAAAGTCACTTGAATTGAACTGTTCCCCTTTCCAAGACTTGGCAAGTTGCTCATCTATCAAGAGAGCCTCTGGTGATGCCATTTGCCTTGAGAGGTCTTAGACTTCACCACTTAACCCAAGACATTTAAGTGGGGATTCATAGTTCACAGAGGGGTGATGAAAACAGTGGCTCTTGGGGTTTCTGAGACCCACATGACATGGGTATAGCTGTTATCCCCACACAAATGAGCCCAACATCCCCCCAACAACCAGCTTTGCATTAACCATAATCATATCCCAAACTGCCTTAGTCACCTGAGAGAAAGGCAATCCTTATTATTGGATCATCTTTGCCAGGGGCTACCAGAAAGTAAGAGTGTTTTTCAGAAAATTAACAGAGTGATTTTGAAGCAAAATCCATAGTATTACAAAACCCCCAAATGATAGCAAGGTAGGAAAGCATTTGAAACAACATCATCATCCATAAAAAACAAGAGAGGGGCTTTTAATCAACTGACTGAATAATTTAAACCCTCAAAGCATCAAAGCCCCTTAACATTATCATCGCCTCCTTTGAAGACAGTGTCACTCAGCAGAAGAAATTCACACTCTGCTCTAATGAATCTGTTTCACCAAAGGGAAAAGAAAACAGATTCTGCAGCCCGATGTTTTCTCAGCAAGCACTCACCTTTTCCATATCCATTCCCCCATATTTTATCTTTAGTAACTCCCCCCCCCCACCAAGTGCACAGTGGACATAAATATCTACTCTGAATTTTTCATCATTATCTGTTAAGAGAAAAATTGCATATGACATACTATTCTATAGCCCCAAGAATTTGATTTTTTTCAGGAAAACAGGAATACCGGGGGATGCATGTGTCGTGAAAACACACATCTCCCTTTCTCTGGAGCAATCGCCAGGGTGGGGAGGGGAAGGTTACAAACAGTCCGCCACGTAGCTCACCCTCTCCACGCTGCGTCTTCTCAGAGATCCATAAGGAATTTTCAGTAAAAGTCTCTGGGTTCTATTCGGAGCCACTGCAGCCTGAACCACCATGATGTAGAGCCGTGTGTGAGTGTGTGTGAGAGAGAGAGAATGTGTGTGTGTGTGTGTGTGTGTTTGCTTAGCAAAGGGAGAGAGGGAGGCTGCCTCAAAAACTAAGTTATGGTCTCCTGGAGGTTTCCTGAATATCAAATAACTGAAAGAGTTTTCTTTCAACCATATGAGTCAAGATGTGGTCTGTTGTGAAGTGGGGGATGGGGAAAAAGAAAAATCTTCCAAGTTCCCCAACTTCGGCGTGCCTTCAGCTCCCTCCTCTGCCCCCGTGTGTCTGTTCCTCAGTGAGAGTGCATGTCCCAGAAGTACGCAAGTGACACTTCTGGGGAGAGTGATGCAGAAATGTCAACTTTGCTTCTGGTGGCTGCAGATGGTTACCAGGCCAGTTGTCTAATCAAAGCCCTATCAGACGCATTATTTATTCCATCACGTGACTCCAAAGCCCCTCGGCTGTACAGTAGGTCACATGTTCACCTTAAAAAGGCTATTTGGAATATCACCATCTGGTGCAGAGATTAATGTGAAATCCTACGTTCTGATTTCACTCTCTTCAGAACACAAGAAAAATATTTGAAGACCAGTGACATAACACACTAGGGACTTGGAGGATCTCTCTTCATACTCATAAATTATACGTATGACCCTGAGCATATCTGCTTTATTCCTTCCTGCTTACCAAGGCACAGAAAAGAAATGAATGCATACAATTAATTCTACACGTGAATACTATACGCAGAGAAAGTGTAAGAGAAGAGAGAGAAGGAAAAAATGTTTGTAGCACATGATTCAGATGAATCAAATCAAATATACCAGACAGACTTGCATTTGGCACCTCCTATTTAAATGTTTGTGTTACAGAACACTTATTTTTATGTGTGCCAGTAAATATGAAGGAGTTATGCTTGATTTTGCGAGGCTTTGAAAAGAGCTGTCTAAATGCACATTTATCCATCCCATTTGCCTATTTTCTGCTTATCACTTTATTTAATTCCAGGTCAGATAACCTTCCCAGACAAAGACGAAATCTAAAAAATTTTAGATTTCTGTAATATTTTGTCTAGCTGTGTGCTCCTCCCCATCTCATCTCCTCCCTAAATCTGCTTACTCCTGTTGCAGAGAAAATTACTGTAAAGAAAAACAAGTAAAGGGCTTCCAGGACTGGAGGTGTTTTAGTTTTATTCTTTTTACTATTTCCTACATCTCCTGCTTCTCTTTGTTCTGGGTCTCTTGAAAGGGCTGACCATTTCCTTCGTAGTAACCCCAGGCTTTGTGGCGGGAGCCTGATATCACTCATAGGCTTTGTGAACCAGCTTTCCTTTACTCTCTGCAGACCAGTTTATTAAAGACGATGGTAAAGAAAGTTCTGTTTATTCAGAGGGTCTCATAGGAAGTGGGGGTGGGGTGCAAAGGGAAGAACTGGCATTTTTACACTGCTAGAAAATGGATCAGGAAAGAGACTCTTAGAGGGGGGGTGGGTACTCGTGGGGTGGGTACTCGTGGGGCTGTGGTGAGAGGATGGAAACATGGGGCCGGTCATCCAACGCAGACACACATTAAGAGGCAGTTAAAGCAAGCATCAAGTTGATGTGGGAAATTCCAAATATACAACAATCGCGCTTTGTTCATAATCGGTTCCATATGTGTGGCTGGAGTTAGCGAGAGGGTGAGGGAGAAGGGCAGAGACAAGGAAAGATGGAAGACTGCTCAGTGGGACTTACAGAGGTCTTTGGTGAGGTGGTTTGGGCTTACAGATCTTCCCCCCAACCCCCACCCCGTCTTTCTTGCTTCCTTCCTGCACTGCAGTCTTTCAAACTATTTTGGGGTGGATACAAATCTTGGAATGATCCCCAATTATTTGGCCAAATCAGTAGAATCTCTTTGCTTCATAAAAGCCCACTTGACTATGGAACGGTTTTGAACAAAGGACAGGCACATTTTCAAAACACTTATCTGGGATTTCGCCCGTCTAGTAGTTTCAGAGGCAGCAATGTATCCGACCAACTGAGAAGTCACTGTCTCTTTTCTGACCCAGGCAGGGCAAAGCCCCTGGGAGCTGAATTTATTTATATTTGACTAAATGCAACTTCCTGTTTCCCAGGGGTATTAATGAGTTTCACTGAAGAGCTTAAGGCTCATGGCATAGTTCAGATCATAAGGGACACTTTGATGAATGAAGTACAAATAAAACAAAAACATATGCATTTGATTAAGGTTAAAATACATACAGAGGAGAATGTTAATGGAAACAAAAATAACCCTAGGCTAGACTCCCACACTTTTAGCACCACACATTCCACCCCTCTGGCGGTGGGGAGCAGGGTAATTTCTCATATCGCTTTTGTTGCCTCCCCCCAGCTAACAGGGAGGCGTGGGAGAGGGGTCGGGAACCCTTCAGAGTCCCTGGAAGAGAAAAATAGGTGGCCACCTCCTCAAAGAGATTGGAAGGCTCTCAAAGGACTGCTTGTTCAAAACTCTTTCTGATCATCTTGTCTGTTTGCATCTATATATTTAAAATTAATTATTGAATCTAAAGTGTTTGTTTCCAGAAGGCCACTGTTACCGTACAAGTGCTTCTGGAGAGAGGACAGATACTTTGCAGGTATGGCCAGTGTAGGAGAGGTGAGGGGAAGAAATGTTTACTCGGCTCTTAGCAGTTGCCAGGCAATGTGCTAGAAAATTACCAAAGGCTGACTCCATGGCAGAAAAGAGTTTCATTATCTATGTTTTCCAGTTGGTGAAACAGGTTCAGAGAGGTTTAGTAAGTTGACCAAAGTCACACAGCCAGAACTGTGGTAGCGGAAAAAAAATAAAGTGAATGTGTTAGATTTCAGGGCTTGGCCCATGATACTCTCAACTATCCGAGAAGATTTTATCAGATTACAGCAGTTTAGAAATCTGGAAAGGAGGGATATGCACGGGGTCATTCAGAGAAATGGCAAAAATTTTACTTTGAAAAAAGGCAGGAAATGGCATTAGATTGAGCTGTTTTAGAGTCTTGGGAGCTACTGTTTGGATATTCCTTAGAGCTAAGAGAAAATGATAGAGTGTGAAGAAGTTCACAGGAGCTGGGCAGGCAGCAGGTTACCAGAGGCTAGAAGCCTTTGCACTCAACCACTGCTGGGCCTGTTGGCAAAAGCCTGGTTGGGGGGAGGGGAATGTCCTGGCTTCTTCCTTCTTACTCTCTTCTAGTCTCCCACGAGCATCTTCCATGCACTGGAGCCAGACAGTTAACATGGAGCCATGGATATAATAAAGTAGGTAGGGGAGTGGGGAAGGAGGGGAAAAAATTGCCCAGGACCAGCACTGAAGGACCAGAGAAATTGGAACAAAGGACTCAGAGTCTGTGAATTAGGAGGAACTGAGAGGGAACAGAAGGGCGGGAGGAAAACATTTGGAAAAGAGTATTACTGAGGAGAGAGTACATTTTTTTTTTTTTTTTTTGCCAGGATGCTGGGTGATGAGGTCCCCTGAGTTTCCAGGGACAGATGGGGCGGATGCTACGGGATGGGTGCCAATGACCCTGTGGGAAGTGGGTGGGGAAGACACACTTCGGTTCTACAGTCCCTGAGGCTGCTTCTTTTGATGCCTTTTGGAACAGAGCACTCCAGGCTGGTGGGTGTCTTTTTTCTTTTGGTTTGTTTGTTTTGAATAATTCCTTCCATCTCAGTGAAAATGTTTACATTCAAACTCCAGAATGAAAATGGCTTTGTACACCTTGGAAGGCTTTGTACATGTCACCTTGGCATGTGGCCCTAAAGTCAGTAGAGGCCTGTGGGCTTCAAGAGAAACTGTTGCCACGACTCTCTCACTTTTGCCAAATATCTCAAGACAACAGACTCAACCCTTCCCTCCTTCTCCACGTCTCTGGAGGGCTTGGGAAGGAGGGATCTCAGGACCAGTTTGAAGTTCTAAGTTGACCTCACCCTGCAGTCTCTCAGAAGGGGAGGGTGGGAACCTGTGCAACCTCACCCAGGCCTGGTGAGAGGGGTTCTGAGGAGCCTGTGGAAGGGGCATGGTGAGCTTTTTAACAGGAAGGGGGCTGGCTGGAGCAGCTGGTAGTGGCAAAAAGAAGGGCTGAATGGAGTATGGAAGGTAACTCAGTCCTATAGTCTTGGGTCAGATGCTGGTCTTGGTTTCTTTCTTTTTTTTTTTTCTGATTTATTTATTTATGCATACAAGAACTAGGGTAAAAGCCAGAGGTGTGGGGTGGGGGGGGGGTGAGACGATTCACCAGAGACAGAGTGGGGAACAGAACAGGCAGATCGACTGAAATACACTGCTGAGGGGAGCAGTGGGCGAGCCAGGAGAGGTCTGTTTGCCATGTGGTTCAGCTCCCTGGGCAGGGATCGAAGTCGTGCTGCAGTGGCTGGCGACAGCTTGATAGCACTGAGACTAACCCCTGCGCCACCAGGGAGACCCAGTCTTTGTTTCTTTAAAATGTTGTATGCACTGTGTGAAGGGCAAGGGAACCCCAGATGACAGGGCTGGGGTGTGGGGACCCGGGGCAAAAGATGGGCTCTTAAATGAGTGACTGGAAGCGAGACGTTCTCGGTGAAAGGAACTGAAGTGATAAATTCCTAGCAATGGGAAAGGGAAGACAGGGCTATCAAAGAGCTCATGATACACTCCTTAAGGGTAAAAGTTGGTTTTAAATAACTGAATCCCAGAGAGAGCCTTGCCTTTCCTGATTTCTCCTGGAAGCAGCTCAGTGAAGAGGAGCAGAGGGGCGGAAATTGGAGAAGCAGCCCGCACATCCTCCTTCCCATACCTGGGAGCTCGCACTCCAGTCCTGGGCGGGGGGAGGGCAGAAGCTGGAGCTGTGCATGAAGGTTGAATTTGTTCACAATTGCTTCACAACACAGGTGACAGGATGAATAGGATGAGATTGAACCAACACATGCAGGAAGAAAACATTCCTAATCAATGTGGAAAATACTAGAGGAGGAGGGAGGAAGTTTGGAAGGGAAGCCCTGTCTTTTTTCAAGATTCCATCACCTTTTCCAATAGCTCCTAACTCAGCTTGCCCAGGTAATTCATGTTACATCTTATTAGAGTAAGCTGTGACTTTGGTTACGCAAACAGAAATGCTGTCTACATCCATTATTTTATGTTTGAAAAGAGGCTGGAATTTAGGCCAAACATGAAATCCAATATCCGTAAGAACAGGACGAAGATCTCAAGCCACCAGACCTGTTATCACAAGACCTCACAAGCCCAGGGCCTGGAGATCATCGACAGTCACCAGACAGCACAGTTCAGGTTTCTCTGGATTTTAACTAAGGTTTTTGTGAATACAGTAATTCTTGGCATGAACTTCTCCTCCTCTGATGGCCTTTCCAAGAAACTGTAGGTAGAATTGCAGCTAGCTTGGGTGGGCTGATAAATTTCCTTCCC